TTATTACTAATAACATTTGGAACTTCCAAAGTAACTACAAAACAACATAATCCAAAACAGTGCAACTTAGTTAACATGATACTATTCTTAGGGCTGGCCTTAGGCAGGGACCAGCATCCGCTCCATGCCCCGGCCTCAGGCATTTGAATGCCAATTTGGACTAAGCATTATAAAAAATTATATTCTGCAAAAAAAAAAAATGCCTCAGGCCTATTACTTAAATAATATAATAAAATTATACTGTGTTTTAATAATTATTGTTTACTTTATTTTATTCTATCTTTTTTTACAACAACATATTAGGTATGTTTTTGTTTTTAAACATACTATCTAATGGAAATGTTGTAAATAATATGTCTGAATGATGTATTGTTGGATCTATTTTTTAGATTTTAGATTTATATAACAGATTGTAATATCCTAGAAAAACAATGGTAAGAATCTAATGATGATAGGTATTACTGTACTGGCCATTAGGTATACAAACCTATCTACCATTATAGAAAAAAGTACCTAATGTATAACATGAAATTCAACTTGTTCTTTTTTTGTCATTCATTATATTATTATGTTCTCTTAACTTATATTTTTTGCGTTGGACTATCACATTTATATAGTTTGATTGTATTTTATGATTTTTTTCCAACGATTACAATATAAATTTAATAGTTCTAAATGAGGTAATAAATACAAGATATTAAATATACTTTTTCAGCCATTTTTTTTTTTTTTTTTTTGAAAGTTAGTTGACAATAATTTATTTATAAAACTACCAACTTTTTTTTATCACAGGATCACTCAAGCAAAGTCTAGTTTTATAAATATACTTTAAGTCGTAGTCCTGTGTGCACAATTCCCAATATTAAAAGTTGATCTTTAGTAGAAGAATTATTTTTAATAGAAAGTAAATTAATTAAGTAACAATCTACTACAAACCAGTTTTTTTTGGAACATAGGTAATAAGTTTTTTATTATTTCCAAATATTTTCAAAAACTTTTTCAATTTGAATGTTCATGTATATTTATCAACTAACCTGTACAACATAATATAGCTCTTGATACCATATGGAGGACCTGTTATATTTTCACGTTTTGATACTTCGACGGTTACATAATCTATTAAACATAACATCAATTATTATGATTAAAACATTTCAAGTAATTTCTACAGTGTAATGTTTTCGACATTTTTCACTTTCGAAGACGAAAAGTTCTTTCAAGTCACTAGATTCATTCATGATTATGTTATATACAGTAGTTGCTCGTTCCTTTTGTATTCTTTCTTCTAAAATGTCATCGTAATATTTTCTATACGATTCGTCGTGACATTTCCCTCTACATGCAACTAAATTCATATAAAGTAGAAAATACCATAAAATGTATAAGAATAAAATAAAATCATGATTTCATAATTGAATCAGCCAGACCTTTCCAGTTTCCTGTACCATTTTTAAACAATATTTATTTATTGATATTATCTGACATAAAAATATTTATAACAGATATAGTATTATAATAATCAATAATTATTGGTACTGAGCATATTCATCAATATCATATAAAGAGTAGTTACCTAATAACTTTAATATTATAAAAAGCATTACGAAAACGACTGTTGTGCAAAATCCCGGTCCATCATAACACTATGATACATTGATATTTATAATCTTAAATAATAAAGATGTACAACTGTTCTCGACGAACGTATATACAACGGATCATATAATATATGTATATTATACAATGATAATACAATATTCTACATTTATATCATTAGGTACCTAGTCAATAATAACATTTATCATATTATTTGTATGTTAATATAGTAAATTGTTTAAATAAAAACACTGCACATATCGTAATGGAAATAAATTGGTGAAATACCAACAAGTGTGCCTGCATAATATTATGTATTATAAAAACTAATAATATGGAATCTACAATTCTACACATAAGTGTAATACGATGACGGATGAACCTATAGCAAAGACTGAGTTTGTTTTTTTTTTTTACATGAGGAGTGCGGACACGTAAATCACCGAAACGAATCCAGGCAGTGGTTTACTATCACGAATTGTGCTGACCGCATCGTCCGTGGCATTGAACAAAATTAATTTTTTTTTTTTACAAAGTGGTCCACCATACAGCATCTGAACTACTACATACGCACTATCTATAATGTCTACGCCTACAGAAAAAGCGACTATATAATGTTATATAGATAATGTTGTCGACTAACTGATCATTGACAGTGATAATATTATATTATATAATATTTAAATAGCATTAGTCTCGATAATAATAATATGATATTTTATCATTTTAAATTTATTTTATGATTGTCTATATAGGTACGAACGAAAGACATATTATAAAGAATCTACCATTTTTTTTGTTTTACGCGACGTGGAGTGCCGGCAAGTATAACGCTCCGAAACGAATCCAGGCAGTGGTTTGCTATCATTGATAATAATATTATTGCGCTGACTGCATATCATATTATGACTATGGTCGGCGGCATTGAACGAAATTATTTTCTGTACGAAGTGGTCCCCCGTACAGTATCCGAACTATGTTCGACTAACGGCTGCGTATACGCACTGTGTATATTATATTATGTTTACGCGTAGGAGACGGTTTAGAATGTTGTCCGATTGTTTATAATATTGTCTGTGTTTTTTTATTATTATTATTTTCGTTGGTGGGGCACCGTCGGCCGACGTCCCGTATCAATAGCGACTTGTTTAGTGCTCACCGCCGACGTTCGTTTCAGTCGTGCTGGGTGTACCGTGTACGGTGTACCTACGTGATACCGTTATTGCGTGCGTGTGTGTGTGTGTGAGTGTTCGATGTGCTCATTCTGAACCGCCTACAGTAAGTACAACTCAATATTTTCTACACCTAAAAAACCGAGTCTGGGCGTACAATAGTCACGGATCATTTTTATACTGTGTAAATAATATAACGTCAGTATGAAATATTATAATAATATGTACTAAAATGTACGGAATTATTCAATTATAGTGTGCGACAACGTGCCAAATATTTGTAAAAACCTAGAATATACCTAAACGTAAAATCAATTGGAATAGGTAACAATTTTTTTTTTTTGAATTATTATAATATTGATTTAGCACTGTTTGAAAAAGTTAGTTTACATAGGTAGTTATAGAAGCAAATTATTCAGTGTATACAAGTAGAAAGGGCATAAACGAAAATAAACTAAAAATTGATTAAAAATACACAGTTAATTGTTACGAGTAACCTACAGACTAATAATCGTACACATCGTTATTAAACCTACCTACATAGAAATGTTTTATAAAATCAACCAATTTAAATATTATTATTACGCCAATATCATTGGTTTTAGTTAAAACTACTTTGCATGATCAAATTTATAAATAATAGTACCTATAAGTATACAATTAAAAGTCTAAAATTGAAGTAGTGTTGTTTGGACACTCCCTTCTATCAAGCCGTCCAGTCTTGTATATAAATTATCATTATTACTTATTGTATAGTTAATACAGATTGTATATATTTTATTTAATAAAAAAAAAAAAAAAAAAAAAAAAAAAGTATACAATTTTACATACAAGCCAGTGCCTACCTGTAATTTATTTATGATACTAATTATTTAGTTTTTTTCTGGAGTAGATATAATATGTTATTTTATCTAGTAACTTATTTTGTTATACACATAGATTAACAGGTTATTATTATTTTATCAGTTTAACTCTAAATTAAATTAATTATCCAATATATATTAAGCATCTAATTAAATGTTTGGACTACCTACTAACAGTGCCAGCTAATAAATAATTATAACTGTATATTTAACGTTTTTATAAAAATGAAACACTTCATAAACTTAATAAAATATACGATATTAGTTATTTTAGAACCAATATAAATATTTTTCAAATATTAATTTATAATGATCGTCAATATCGTTTGTAATTTGTATTTGACTTTATTACAGAAAGCTTATTAATTATAATATATTTAATGTTTTTATTCAAATTATTTCATAACACTCACATAAAATATGAAGGCTATTATGTTTTAAAATAATATTTAGTATCATAATTTTGAAGTTAAAATGTTGTAGATAAATAAAAATAATAAGTCATAGACAGTTACAGCACACTGTTAAAAAAATAATATAATATAGGTACAATCTTTATTTTCTGACGTAATGTATACCTAATCCGAATGCGTCTGTAGTAATTTATAAATAGCCTTTCATTACATCACTTATATTGATTTTTTTTATAACTATTAAGACTAGTACTAAAAAAACAACAAACAAACATTAGACATTTTAAAAATAATTATAAATAATAATAAATTTGTATCTCACTAAAATTAAAACTATAAAATATATATTTGAATGAAAACGTAAAATTTTTTATTTAATTAATTTATTTTAATTTTAAGTTTTCATTCAAATATATATTTTATAGGTAGACTGGTATACACACAATATTTTAATTTAGTTCAATGTTATCATTATTGGTAAATGGTAATATATAATGAATCGATTATAAGTTTATTGTGTCCGTTGTGGCAATGGAATGCATTTCCATGGATACAAATGGGAAATGAAATGATGTCATATGACTATAATTGAGACCCTAAGGCAATTATGTTCATTTTACTGTCACCTCATAACTTGTACACAAATAAAATAAAATAAAATTGGTGTATTTAGGTTCATTTCACCATTATTTCATGAAATATAAATTGATATTTGTTTGTACAAACAGACTACTAACCTAAATAATTTAATATTAATTTATAGTTTGCGAGTTTACGAGTTTACCTATGGTGTCATGTACCTGCCACATTGACTGCCCTGACCATTTGAATCATTTGAGAATAACTACCAGGTCACATTAAAACAGGTATATTTAAGCGACTTTTTTGGTAAATGAAAATTAAATATAATACACTAATAAATAAATTGTTTCTATTTATATTTAGGTCTGAAAAAAATGTCAAACCTCAAAATGTCAAACTTCGAATTAAACAACGTGTGTTCAATTGGATCAAACGATCAACTTCTCAAAGCCGTTCAATCAAATGATTTAGATTTATTCAAAAAACTCCTAGAAATAGGATTAGGAAATTCATCTATAGACTTGGATAGTATATTTGACGAACCTTATCATGGCACAATATTAGATATATGTTGTATATCGACGGGTAGATCAGAATTTGTCAGGATACTATGTTCGGTAGGAGTAGACGTAAACGTTGTTAATAAAAATCGGAAAAAGGCTCCGATACATTTAGCGGCTGCAAATGGAAGTAAAGACGCGTTAGAAGTATTATTGGAACATCCTCCAACCAATATAAATTTATTAGATAGTGATGGGAATTCGGCTTTACACCTTGCAGCAAAATCTGGAAATGTTGAATGTTCAGAATTGCTATTAAATTCTAATAATATAAAAGCAAATCAATTGAATAGGAAAGGCTTTACTCCAGCCTACTTGGCAGCTACTTCAAAGAAAAAAAATGATGAACTTATGATGGCATTTATTAGGTAAGTACGTAAAAAATAACCTCTAAATAATTTATCTTAGTGGTTTTTTTTTTAGGTGTCCAAAAGTTGACTTGGATATGTTCATTTGGGATAAATCCTTAAGAAGCGTGATAGATGAAAAATATCCACATCTTTCGGAAGAAATGCCACCAGAAGGTACACGGAATATTACTCACCACTGCGATAACCCGTTTGTATACCTCTACTCAAATGACATAGAAGGATTTATTTCACATATAACTTCCACAAAACAATTTGACCTTAACAATCATGATGGAAAGCACACTTATCTCCAATATGCGTGTGATTTTGGCTTACCAAAAGTTGTTCAAGTTTTACTCAATCTTGATGTAGATCCAAATGGTACATGTCCATCTAATACTAAATATGCAATTTTTATTGCTTCGTTCAGAGGTTTTGCAGATATCATACAATTGTTTTTGAATAGTAGAAAATCTATATGTTATCAAACAAGTAACGGTACAGCACTCCTTGAAGTAATCAAAGGTTCTGATGAAGACCATAACTCATTAGATGTAAATACTGAATTATGTGATCATGATAGGTCATTTAAAATGTTACTAAGAAAAAGCGAAGCCAATCCTCTTGAACTTAATATTAATCAATCAGATGATAAAGGTAATACTTGTTTACATTACGCAGCTAAAATAGGCGATCGAGATTCTATATTATCGTTGTTGGAAAAAGGTGCTTATATAGGGAAAAGAAACGTACTTGGAGATCCTCCACTTGCTGATATCAGTCCTAATATATTAGAATCTCATTTAAATAAATGCATAAAATCAAACGGGAAATCTCCAAAAGATATTAATTACGAGATTATATGTTCATACAATTTTTTATGCCCCCCAAAGATTTACAAACAAAAAGATATTGATAATTATCAATCACAATTAGAAGGCCTAGAATACATTCCCGAAAATATCCCTGAAACCGATCCATTGTTGTATATAAGTGAAGTTCCAGAACTCAGGCCTCTTCTAAAACACCCTGTACTAACTAGCTTCCTCCATTTAAAATGGTTTGCAATAAAAAGATATTATAAAGTAAATTTAGCGTTTTATATAGGATTCTGGGCACTTTTAACCATTTACACGCTGTTGACTTTTAAAATAGGTGTTCAAAATAGCAATTTGTCACTTACACAAAATAATATTACAGAATTCTCCACGAACAGTGTGCCATTTAGTAGTGATACAGCTGTTTATTTGTGGGTTATGGTATTGGGATTCCTTATTGCTTTAATATTCCGTGAATTATTCCAGTTGATCTCATCTCCATTTACGTACATAATGAGCTTAGAAAATTGGTTGGAAATAAGTCTGATAGTTTTGACGTCATTCTTATTATTGTGCGAAATGTCTTGTATATCAAATAGAAACCAAATATCTGCCATTGTCATTCTACTATCTTGGGGTGAACTTATACTTCTTGTTGGTAGACATCCAGCGCTTGCTACCCACCTAGAGATGTTTAAGCGCGTTACTAAAAACTTTTTACAATTTCTAGTATGGTATTCAATATTAATAATAGCATTTGCCCTAAGTTTTTACATGTTATTTAGAAATGACGCAGACACCGATAACAAATTTAACGATCCCAGCTCAGCAACATTCAAAACTATCGTTATGTTGACCGGGGAATTCGATACATTTGGTTCACTGCCTTTTAGTATGCATCCAATAGTTAGTCATGCATTATTTCTTTTATTTATATTCCTTATCGCCATTGTCTTAGTAAATCTTCTAAATGGTCTTGCTGTGAGTGACACCCAAGCAATTAGAGCTGATGCGGAAATCGTCGCTCACGTGTCCCGAGTTAAACTCATACATTACTTTGAAAAAATGGCTCTAGGTGACCCGTTTTCGTGGACTCGTAAAGCTCAAAACCACATAAATAATTTTAAATACAGTATTCCTTCAGTATTTACAAGACGGTTTTATCTGAAAATAAGGCTATTTCCAGATGCTCTACAAGATTCGGAAATAAAAATTTTAACTAATCAGAGAAATTTTGTAGACTTTGGGACATCTACAAAAAAAAGTCAAATAGGGTGTATTGCGAATTGTCAAGGTTATTATCTTGAGAAAGAAATTGTCAATGAAGCTAAGTCAATAATTAAATTGAATTCAGAGGGAGCAGACAAAAGTTGTATGGAAATTCTTGATGTATTTATTGAGAAATTTAAAACCGTAGAAAAGTCGGTAGAAGAAATTAAAAAAATGTTAAATGCAATGAACACAAGAAGTGAAATAGATTCGATATCGTCGTCTAGTAATTTCCATGTGGTAAATGGATCATACAAAAGCTAAGAAAAAATATGATTTTTAATGGTTCTTATTTTATTGTTTACGGTCAGCCAAAATAGTAAAACCTAGCTCACATTTTAATGTAGGTAGTAGGTATACAATTCTAATGTAAGGTTATTGTAAAACAATATTTCATAAATTTTCATATTTATAATTTTGATGACAATAAGTTTTTGTTATTTAATTTTTTTATCTATTTTATAATAATATTAATCTTAACTGTCATAATGCCTTAACCATTTTGTTAAATAATTTAACTTTAAACATACAATAATAATAATGACCTTTTTATACATTTTTATAAGAGCAAAAAACATTGTATTTTAATACTTTTTAGTAAGTAGTTATCTTAAACTGTGATTAATGTTGTTAACTGATTTGTAGTATATTTATTAATTGTTTCATAATATATACTTTTTTAATAATTTATTGTTATTAGACTTTTAAAATTAAACACAATATTATATGTTATTATTTTAGCACTAAATGCAATTTAAAAAGTTTAAAGTTGATGTTACCTGTCTTATTATTGTTTATATTTTGTTTTTCAACAATTTTACCACATTATGTACCCATGTATCAGGTTTACTCAATAATAATAAAAGTTATATAATGGTAAGAATGCAGGTAAATTATAATATTTAATTCCAAAAATAAAATGGATTAAGTTGGACTTTAACTTTATTATTTATTTTAATATATTGGTTTAAACTTTAGTTTTTATATGTTGATTTAATTATAATATTATGTTTAATATAAAACTTTAAAAAAATAATACTACCAAGTATTGTAAGTACCTACTAACTGACATTTTCAATCATTAATAATAAAAGTAAAAAACAATTTAATAATTAATGCAATTGAAATATGTTTTCAGATTATTTATAACAAAAATGTATTTTTAATTCTTGTCATATTATGGTATAATATAGTTAAATGTATCTAAAAAAATGTAATTTAAAGATTGATTTGTTTATAAAAAATATTAAATATTCTCATTTACCTATTTATATTAATAACTAGGGAACGGATTTTATTGTAATAAAAAAATCAAAATATGTACATAAATATGTACTTATTTTTAATGAAATATGTAAAAAAAAAATTAAAATATGTAATAACTGCTTAACAAAAAAAATAATATAAAAAACAATATATATATATAAAAAATTATCTCTTATCTAATTCTTAAAACAATGTGAAACTACATATTCTCTAAGATTTAAAAATGTAAAATGGCGGCGATTTGGACGTAAAATGTTTTTGTACTGACTAAATGAACGTTCCACATCGACTGACGTAATGCTAGCATACTTCATATTAACTATATCAAGTGGTGTGAGTTAGACATCTAATAATTCTGTTGGATTTAGTCCTTGGAGTATATCTCTAATTATTTTTAAATTTTTCAGTCCTTGATTTTTTTCTATCACATTTTTACATTTTTCTCTAACTACATTTCCTATGTGACCTTGACATTTTTCTAATTTCTTTTGCGATTCTTCAACAATGCATAAACTTTCTGATAAGGGCATATTTCGAGTTTCCAGTTGTTTTATAGTATGAATCAAAAAACCAAAATTAGCAGAAATGTATGTTAAATTATTTCTTAAATTATTATTTTCCATCATATTATTTGCTTTACCGATAGCGGTGGCAGTTTCAGTATTTAGACTTGAAATTATATTTTTAATTTTTTCAAAATGTTCACAATAATACAGAGCTGCTTCTAACCACGTACCCCATCTCGTTAAAATAGGCTCTGGAGGTAAATTGAGATCGGGGTACAATTCTTTAAATTTTAATACTCGACTTGGTGCTTTAAGAAATATTTTCTTAACCGTTGCTATTAATTGGTCTACGTCAGGGTAACTTGATCTTATTGTTTCTGCCACCCGATGAAAACCATGTGCTAAACAAGTGACATGTATTAGTTTAGGGAAAAATGCATTCAGAACATTACCTGCTTTACACATATACGGAGCGGCATCGGACAAAAATAAAAATACATTTTCATATTTTAACGTATAATATTTGGTCGTCGGAAGGAAAAGATCAAAAATTACTAAAATATGTACAAAATATGTATTTATTTACCAAATATGTAAAAATATGTATTTATACCAAAATATGTAAAATAAATTTGGGTTTATTTTAATTAGAATGATCTAAATCGTAGTATCGTACACATTTTTTATCAGATTAAAAATATCTCATTTCAATAAAAATATGTATTTACAATAAAATCCGTTCCCTATTAATAACACTTTTAAAAGTTTGGTGAATGACAACACTTAACCAAAGGAAAAACAACTGGGGAAGTAAGTAAATATTTGTAGATGTCGAGTGTCCATTGTCATTGAGTAGGTACCTAAGTCATGTATTAAATTTAAATTCAGTGATCGAATTATACTCTAAGGAAATTTGATTACAAATTTTTTATATTAATAATTATTATTACTATAGTCTATAATTAGTAATTATTTTTTTATATAGTACCTGCCTACCTAGTACGGATATACAGTGGGTTCAACTAGTTTTAAAAAACCAATATTTTGCAACACCGAATGTACAGCTAGTATAATTATAATATGTCACAATACATTATAGTTCTGATAACCTGATGGACCTTTAATAAATTATATAATGTGTGGTGTATGGTGTTTGTGTATGACGGGTTTTCACAGGCACGTTTAAAAACAAATTACTACCTACGTGCAACATACATTTTTATGGCACAAAGTGTAAATGGTTAATGTCTAAACTCTAAAGGTAATGTTACATAATAATTATTATAATTAAGTATCTTTAAATCTCTTTAAATATAAATTTAAAACGTAGGTAAGTACCTACGAACTTTCAATTTAAGCTTCCTATTTGACAGTTTGCTAAATATGTTAAATGATTATAAATGATGTGTTAAAACGAAATATTGTTATTTTTAATTTTCGTGCAGTGTTGTACACATAAGTAAATTAAGTTTTTCGAGCTTCAGAATAACTTGTTATAGGAACTTTGACGTTATTTAATGTAGCTATATTGTTATAAATTAAAAGTTTGAATATAATAATGGAGTGAACTTCTCACATTCCAAGAAAAACTTTTTTGTGTATGAACTCTATTTAACGTACAGCAGGGGGATTAAAAAAGAATACCACATTTTTAAAATCTAGATAAACGGGAGCTCCGTCATTATCTTTAAATGGGTATATTAATATTCTTATATCATTAATAATATAGTAATATATACATACATACTATAGAAATTTGACTGGTATTTCGCCCGTAAAAAAATGAAAAAATACAAAATTTAGATTTTATATAAGTTTATTTTGGTTTTTGTGTTCCTAACTACCTCAGTTCACCGGCAATTTTGCAACACTTTGTGAACTAATTCAACCAAGACAGATAATTCAATTGTAGTGGATTAGATATAATATAGTACTTGGTATAAATCTAACGTGGTTCAACCTACTATTTAAACTTTCCTGATACCTATCTTCTGATAACTACAAACATTATACATTCAACTCTCATATTTGTTATACGACGAAAATAATATTTAAAAAAATACTTATTTCTATACTAATTATTTTTCTTATAAGTTATAAGTATTATAGCCAAAAGCAACCATTTATAAACAAAAATGTCCACCGAAAATCTCATAATCCCTGTTTAAGCACTTCTCCTGGTTTTACCACAGGGTCGAATTGTGAATCCAAACCATCCCGGGAATCACTCAAACACAAAAAAAAAATGTCATCAAAATCGGGAGATCATGCTCGGCAGCTTCCAAGGAAATCCTATGCTGCAGCGACCAAAACGGTAACCTCTTCCATGGAATCCATCTCAAATGTTTTATCAGAATTTATTTCTAATTTTAACTCTTTACTTACTCCACTAATTAATCTCCTTACCGAGATTGTCAACAAACGTTCCTGTTCATAGGGTACAGGTTTTTCCCTTTTTATCTATCTTTTCATCGTATATCAGACCATACCTACAATTACTAATCCTATTTACTTTAGTTTATATAAATAAGTTGTTATTTTATCTATTTGTATACATTAATATTGTATTAAATTATACTGTAATGTGTTAAATTTTAGTTCAATGATATAAAACCAAAGTACCTATACGAAAAACGATTCTGAACGAAGACAGCCGTAATTCATCCTACGGTTAGGTTAGTACTAGTTTTTTGCCTGAGGAAAAATTTTTTTTACCGACATTAATTTAAATAAACTAATAATAATCGAAAATTTCAGATGCCTATGAATAATAAATAGCTGAAGATGATTCAAAATATTTTTACCATGTATATAATAAATGCTAATATAAACCATTCAGTGAAAATTTCATGCATCTACTGTAATAGTTACATGAAAAATCAAAATTGATTTTGCCCAAAACTATTTCTTTTTTGCGAAAAAAACTCCCATTTTTCCTTAATTTTTTTTTTGTTTTTCTCGGCGCTTTTGAAAATTATGAGAAATTTAAAATTCACATATCCACAGAAAAAATAGTGAAGTTGAAAATTGAAGCATTATTTCGACTACTTATCGTTTATACAGTTTCAAACAATTTAAAAACACACATCATTGTAAATTACTAAAATCAATATATTCATCGCTCCGCTCAGTAACTAAAACAGCGGGAAACGGGTTTTTAAAAAATATTAAAAATATTCACAATGAGAACTTCGTATCTATGTTCATAATATGATGTGTAATTTTTGACAACGATATTCGGTACAACGGTAAATATAACAAAAGAAACTCATAGCCCATAGGTATAGTAACATGAAAAATATAAACCACAAACATAGGTAATTGACATAAAAAAAATCTAATAAATATGTTTTCAAACAATTTTTATTTTATAAGATAAATGTATATTATCTACTTGACGTTGACAATGCTATAATAATGGTAAACCACATCAATTATACGCTGTAATGCACTAATGCACATCGCACATGTACTAATCCAGTTATAATTTGTCTACTGTATAAGACATATTAATATAATTGTGTAACATAATATTATGCCTACATATTTTATTTTATAAACTAGATTCCGGTGTTTGTCATCCCGCCTACGGCGGAAAGACTGTGTGGGCGGTGGTGCATCTTTGTCGGCGATGCTGGGTTTTTTGATCCAGCCTGCGGCGGGAATGGGGGGTCGTCGGTTATTGTGTTTTGTCGTGTTGGCAGCACAGGTTAAGCGGTAATTTTTGAACTCGGAAGAGTGTCTAGTCGTAAGTCACGCGATTCAAGTCGATCGTACGACACAGCCAGCCAGGTAGGCAATCCGACTACGTCGGATCGCAGACCATGCACCGGGCGGGTATGCCGGTTCTTGAGTGTGTGTGTTGAAATCGGAAATTCGGATTCTGGGTTTGAGTGTCTAGCTATCAGTCATCTCGGGTAAAAGTCGATTCCCGAGTGTCGGATGCAGTGGGGGACACTGGGGGTGTAAGTCGCTCGTATGCAAGTAGCTAGTCAGGTAGGCAATCCGACTACGTCGGATCGCAGACCATGCACCGGGCGTGTATGTCCGGTTCTGGTGTGTGTGTGTTGAAATCGGAAATTCGGATTCTGAGTTTGAGTATCTAGCTATCAGTCATCTCGGGTGAAAGTCGATTCCCGAGTGTCAGATGCAGTGGGGGTGTAAGTCGCTCGTATGGAAGTAGCTAGTCAAGTAGGCAATCCGACTACGTCGGATCGCAGACCATGCACCAGGCGTGTGTGTCCGGTTCTCGTATGTGTGTTGAAATCGGAAATCCGAATTCTGAGTTTGAATGTCTAGCTATCAGTCATCTCGGATGAAAGTCGATTCCCGAACGGACAATCCGCCTACAGCGAAAAGTGCTCGAAACGGCCGTTCAAATATGAAAAAGTATACAGGAGGTAATAAAATTGTATTTGTTGATAATTATAGAGAACAGTTATCAGGTGTTTTATGTTAGGCTTCACTGTAATCAATGTAATCATTGTTATGTTTTCGCGGTTATAACAAATAAGTCGACAAAATCTAATTTTCTGATTGGATATTTCCTAAAATATACCTACCTTGTATATTTATTTAATTATGAGAATTAAGTCAAATTAACAAATAGATAATTATATTGGTGAATAACAAATTTTATTGAAATGTAATACTATCCTATTAAACGTAGGTATCTATAAATGAATACACTATACATACTCTCGTTTCCGACACACTACTCCACCCCGGGACTCGAATTTTCGAAAAAAACGGCAAATGAAGCAGTCATATTACAGTCGTACTATTTTTTAATATAGTATTTATAATCTGTAGCAGTATTTAACCAAATCGGAATCACGTAAAAACTGTAATATATCAAGTAGGTACTACACGTAGGTTAGTTATATTATAATGTATTATTAAAAGAAACATGTAGGTGCGTCGGTAAATGTTAATTATAATTATTTTTTTGCCCAATAAATATCGTCAAACGAATAATAATAATATATATAATATAATAATGCAAATTTAAAAAAAAAATTAACACTTTCGTTAAAAATGATAAATGTGACGAAAAAAAAACGCAAAAAAAAGAAATTCGATTTAACACGGCCCCGCCGGCGTTCGAAACCACGACCGTCGAATCACCCGTTTTAACGCCTAACCTACCTAGCCACCTACCGAGATGAAATTAGGAGTCAAATCTATGACTCTTAAGGGCGTTTGAGCGGACCACCGTGTCCGCCACCTTCGGACGTTCAAAACGCGAGATTTGCGAAAAAAATCGAACCTCGAGGCGCATGTATATACATGCGTATATATGCCTGTATATAGCGATACCTACACGGTACCTACTCTCGTTTCCGACACACTACTCCACCCCGGGACTCGTCTGTGGCTATAAATATAGCAGGGAACGCGAATAAGTAGTCGACGGGGAGGGTGATATGACCGAAAGGGGCTAAAACTATAATTTTCAAAAAAAA